TTTTGAGTTGAGTTAACTTATTGCTATTTAGTTTGTTGCCATGGCAGCTTTGAAACCCCACATTCAAAAAACGACGACATTTCTGTTGGTTTTAATCGTTTCTTTCTCATTAAAGTTGCTGAACGAATGTGTGAAACTGAGTGAAGCTAATTAAGCTGTAAAATACAGTCACATGTTCGTTTTATTAGCATGATTTTGTTGGGTAAAATGTATTTCTTTCCCATTGGCTCCTGGCTCCATCTATTTGCATATTGGGTGTTTCTTTCCATTTGTTTTACTCACCGTCAGTTTTCATTCCACCCAGTCTGCCTCTCCTCAGGCGTATGCTTTTCATATATGCTCTACTGAGCTGCTTGACACTGTGTTGTTGACTAAAAGTACAGGTTATTGTTTTCTTCACTAATGAGTGGCGGTCTGTGGTGGTCAGTGCCCACATTCACATTAAGAGTTTACCTTTCGGTGTTTGGCAAAATGGTCAATATCACTTAGTTAGTAAAAGTTTCTTAATTACCGGAAGAAACGTATAAATAAGGTTTGACTAACTCATAAAGTTCAACAAAATAATTATAATTTACGAGTTGCACAAACATGTATTTATGGTAACCTAACACAAAAATTTTAGTTATTCTAACTCAAGTTTTCAGTACACATTACTCAACTTTTTTAAGGTAACTGGTTTCCTCAGTTTGTTTAAGTAAATTCAACTTGTCTGGGGTCACAGCGCCATCCGAAGAACCATTTAAACATGCAAATGGTACTATGAGTGTTCATGGTTCTATACAGAACCACTGGGCCTCATTTACCAACTGTTCTTAAGAAGAAATCTCGGTAACACTTTCTATGAATGTCACGTTTGTAAGCATCTACAAACACATCCATAACATGTTATAATGCATTCATAAGTCATCATAAACATGGCTATAAATATTTATAAAATGGCATTACACGTTATAGCCATGCTTATTATGCATTTTGAATTATTAACATAATGCATTGTAAGTACTGTTCATAACACATTATAAGAGCTCATAAGTTGTATTAGTCCGCTCTAAGTAAAGTGAAGCATACTGTACTAAAGCCTCCTCCAGTGTTCAGAGTGAGGCTTCAAGTTGAAGTATTTACTGAAGGATTTACTGAAACACTAAAACATTCACAGTAAAGCACATTACAGGCTTCAAATGTCAGAGTTTAAACTAGTGCTGCATCAGTGTTTTACCCAATGTGGGAAAGGTAATGTACACCACCGTTAGCTTGGCACTAACTTAACACTGCATGTCCAATAGAATGCAAGCAGAACTTAGCATTACTGTATGTAGTGTAGTGATGTTACAGAGTGAAGGGTTCTAGTGCTTGACGTTAGAACCAGTGAGAGAACAAATTACAATGACAGTGCTCTACCATCTCACCCCTCCCTCTCCAGGCCTTCACTCCACAGTGACTTCACGCTCAGTGTGATGTCAGAGGGGGGACAGGGGAGGGGCTGATGGGTGCTTGGTTTGCTGTGATGTACTGTAGTGTTTAAAGTGAGACGCTGGGTAAGAAAAGCTCACTGTAGCAGTGATTCTAGGCTGGACAGCCAGTTTGGAGCAACTGAATATTCAGGACTGAAGCCCTGAAGATGCAGCTTTAACAGCTCCAGCGCTGAGAAATAAAATACTGGAAATCTCAGAGTGGAAATAAACTCTGTATTTGTCTTTACTTTACGTTCTCCAAGCTGGCACTGACAGTATAACATGTTATTAACACTACTTATAATGCATCATATTAACAATTCATAATGTATAATAAACATGGCTATAAAATGTAATTCATTTTTATAAATATGTACAACCATGTTTATAATGCCTTATGAATGCTTTATAACATGTTATAAATGTGTTTACAGATGCTCAAAAGTGTGCAGCGCTCTGTTCTGACTGAAATAATGAAGATTTGGGAGTGTAGCGACAAAATCTTTGCTTTCCTTCCTTCTTTCTGTGTTTCTCTGTTGTACCTGGATGATTTTTCCTCTCAACATCCAGAAAATCTTACTGGAGAAGCTCCTCTCCATAACGTAGATTATCACTTCATCGTCTTGTTTGTACCAGTCTGTCTTTATGCAGTCGTGTCACCACATATCAACATGGAATAGTCCATTATAACCATGACTGAAGGGTGGCGCTGCATTGAAATGACTGAAAATCATCACTAAGATCACAAACAACAGCTATTTTTAAAATGTATATGTATTTCGGAATAGGTTATTTACAACCCCATTTCCAAAAAAGTTGAGATGCTGTGCAAAATGTAAATAAAAACAAAATGCAATGATGTGCAATTCATTTAAACCCTATATTTCATTGAAAATAGTACAAAGACAACATATCAAATGTTGAAACCGAGAAATTTTATTGTTTTTTGAAAAATATTTGCCCATTTTGAATTTGATGCCAACAACACATTCCAAAAAAGATGGGATGGAGGCAACAAAAGGCTGGAAAAGTGGTGTAATGCTTAAAACACCTGGTGGTTGATTGGCAACAGCTCAGTAACATGACTGGGTATAAAAGAGCCTCTCAGAGAGGCGGAGTCTTTCAGAAGTAAAGATGAGGAGGGGTTCACCACTCTGTGAAAGACTGCACCATCAAATAGTGCAACAATTCAAGAAAAACGTTTCTCAACATAAAATAGCAAAGAACTTTAGTGTTTCATCATCTTTGGTACATAATATCATTAAAAGATTCAGAGAATCTGGAGAAATCTCTGTATATAAAGGACAAGACCAAAAAACAGTATTGCTGGCCGTGATCTTTGGGCCCTCAGGCAGCACTGCATTAAAAACAGACATGATTCTGTAGTGGAAATCACTGCATGGGCTCAGAAACACTTCTGAAAACCACTGTCTGTGAAAACAGTTCATCACTGCATCCACAAATACAAGTTAAAACTCTAAAACACAAAGAAAACGTATATAAACAGGATCCAGGAATGCTGCCACCTTCTAAACATCAGTAAGACTAAGGAGATGGTGCTGGACTTTATGAAGTCCAAACCTGCCCTGTCACCAGTCACCATTGATGGGGTTGATGTGGAGGTGATGGGGACTTACAAGTATCTGGGTGTGCACTTGGACAACAAGCTGGACTGGAGCTGTAACACTCTCTCAGTGTACAAGAGAGGCCAAAGCCGTCTCTGCTTCCTGAGGAGGCTGAGGTCTTTTGGTGTGGCACTAAGCTCCTATGGACTCTACCGGTCTGCTGTAGTGAGTGCTTTACTCTATGCTGTTGTGTTCTGGGGCAGCAGCATCAACAACAGTGCTCTGATTAAAATAAATAAACGTATTAGGAAGGATGGCTCTGCTGTAGGAGTCAAGCTGGACTCTGTGGAGGTTGTGTCAGAACAGAGGATGCTCAACAAGCTGTTAGCCATATTGGACAACACCTCACACTCCCTGGAAGCTACACTGGATAAGCCTACTGCTATACAGCTCTACAACGAGTCTCCTTACTGCAGAGACGGTACTGATCTCCTGCTGTCTGAACTGTGCTGAACCACATCACTGTATCTCCTCTAATATCACTCAGTGCCTGCTATCATGTAAATACAACAAACCTCTCATATGCTATGTAAATATGCAAATAGATATACTTTTATTTTATTTCTCTTGTAAATTAACTCATGTCTATTTTTTTATTTTCTGCATAGTATCTGTACGTTTATGTGAAATTATATGTCTTGTTACTGAAACACTGCAATTTCTCTTCGGGATTAATAAAGGTAGGTCAGTAGGTCGGTAGGTAGGTAGGTTGCCCCCCCCCACCCCCCAAAAAAATTTTGGGGCCCCCTGGTTTAATGGCTCTAAAAGCTGCATCACAGAAAGCTATGAAATGATTCCAAATCCACAGCTTAGTGTCTGTTTTTATCAACATTTTTGGCTTAAAACTTTTTTTATGCAAGACAAAGTAGTAAACAGACAAAGTCATTTCACCATCATCAACATCCCATATAAAAACTCAGAAGACATGGTTCACTGGTGGTTTTGGACAGTAATATATGTCTTTAAAATCTATCTTTAGTGTAAAGATTTTGTGCTTTCCTATTAATAATGTTTATATTTCTCACCTAATCAACCTAATTTCCATGTATGACATAAATCTGTACCTCATGCGTAATTTGGGTAAAATATCCTTTCAGTGTAAATACTGTTTTGCTTTTCTACAGGGAGATTCACTCGAAAGAGGCCCCAAATATTCTGTAATAACTCTGGCTAGGATGGAGCGATCCGAACGAAACAACATGCAATGAACTCCTCAGTATATGGAGCTTGGAACAAGCCGGGATGCCCCTGCGTCGGAGCGATGAGGTAGGTGCCGGACAGCCGTCGCGACGTTTAACCTCCCCGATATGCTTCCCGATACATTCAGGAACACGGAGCGCCACGTCAAAACGTGTCTGGCAGGAAACGGCGGCCACTTCCAGCATCGCATGTAATGCAATCAATTACACATACGTCAAGGTATGTAGCGTATTTTTTGGGTTCAGACTGCTTCATCCTAACTGGAAGACCTGCAGAATATTGGGGGCCTCTTTCGATTGAATCTCCCTGTATCTATAATGTTGTATATTGTAAATTTTTGTGAAGGATAGAGTTTATATTTTTTATCTTTTTTTTTTTTATTACATATATTGTCTATATAGCAACACGTAACAAACCGTAAACCTTGTAAAGTCATTAATTAATCAAGCGCTTTGCTCCCTTTGCTGCTGTATTTGCCGAATTTCCCCGTTGTGGAACTAAAACAGGATTATATCATCGTATAGCAAATAAAATGTCTATATTTGTGTTGTAGTCATGGCGACCCCTGGTTTCTATCACCACCACTGTAAAGACATCTGAACCATTTCACACCAAACCACTCTGAATGACTCAACATATGAAATTGTGCAAAAAAAAACATTTTGAAAAATGGTGGAATTGCCCTTTCAGTTATGGGTTTAATAAAGAAAAGAAGGAAAAAACGATACTTTTACTTTTTATTTCCATTCAAATGATGTAAATACAGGATCTAAAATTCAACTCTACGGTCTCATTTCTCTTTTCTTCAACGTTACTGATTTGACTCGACAGTATTTCATTCTTAAAAAACAAAAAAAAGGAAATCTCCCCTATGTACAGTTACAACAGACACAAGCAAAAATACTACGTGTTTAAAGATGTACATATACACATATACTACAACTGGTAGTGGACGCTTGTATTTACTGTACAGAGATGCGTTTTTCCGAAGCACTTCATCCGTTTGAAGTATCGAGCAGCTGCACTGATAAACGATGCAGAGATGAAAGCCATTTCCAGATTATGTGAATAACAGCGAGCGATTGGGAGATTTGGTGGATCGTGATGGACACCTTCATTGATTGTCAGGGCACGGATCACCCCAACTGCGTTCCAATGAACTGAGTTCTTATTTCTAAGAAACACTTGCGCGAGATATATGTGTATATATGGTGAGAGTATCTATGTTTCACAGTATCTATATGTACAACATGGACAGCTGTAATGCAGCCAAGCAGATAAGAGAGAAAGACGAGAAGAGACACCTAAAGGCTCTTGGGGGTGGTCTCAAAGACTCAGAAAAAAAGCCTAATTTTGAATTAGACAAAATTTAATGTTTATAGTGCAAGACTAGTCCAAACTGAGACTGACTGCAGCACTAGGATTAAAAAAAACCCTTTTTAATGCACTTTGAGTTACTTATTTCAAAGGGCCCGTATCCCAAAACTTCTCTTGCACTTTATTTTTTCCCCTGAAGTCCATTTATGACATTTGTTTTCTTTTAAATACCAAAAACAGTCATAGTTCATTTTTATGACCATTTTCCAGCCTCTCTTCGTCTCTTAGAATTAAACTGGCTGTTTTTGTTACCGTGCCTTTAAGACGTCTATTCAAACGAGCTGTTCTGATCCAAAGCTGTGCCTTGTTCAAAAGGCAGTCCGGGCTAATTTCTGCGTGAGTGGGCGGGGCTAAACTGCTGCAGTTCACTTTTGTGACATCACAAAAAACAGCGAACCTAATGTACGGACTGGGGTGTGAACGGCACGTTCCGAAAACGTTCACAAACTACATCAAACTGCTTTTTTTGGCTAAATAAAAGAATTTCCGTATTACGGGCCCTTTAAGAGAGGTCTGAGCACGGTCCGTCCACCCGAAGGTCTCCTCATTAAGGCACCCAGGTGAATGACCTTTAAAAGCAGTTGCTTCACGACAAACTGTGCGCACCTCTTCAAAAAAACAGTTCCACCTAACCTGGTATAAAAACTGCTTTTGTCAAAAAAGTAAACGTATGATACAGAGTTCGAGTGGAAAAATACAATGTGCAACCTTGTTCGAGCGCTTTGGTGCAGGCTTTCACCTTAAAGATGACAGATAAGGGCTCTCTGTAGAAAAAGAACGAGCTCTTCTCTAAGCACCTTCACGAACAGAGACAGAGACGTGTGGTGAAGCGGTTCACAGTGACAGGATGTGGCGGGAAACGTTCAGAAACGAAGAAGAGAAGAAGAAAAAAAAGAGCTCAACCAAGCTTCCGTTGGTCCCTAAATCACAGATCTCGCTGCAGCTGTGCCAAGTACAGTCTAAGCTAAGTCTAAAAGGCCTAAAGCTCTGCAGGCGGCGCGTGGCTTCGCTGCAAACCTGCGCTGCAGCCCACAGACATTTGCGTCGTCGAGAACATCTGTAAACAAACGAAAATAACTTAGAGGTTATAGAGAGTGGTGTGGTAAGCTCCAGGTACCCCGGTCTAAAATGCCCCCTGCACCTCGCGTCAGGTCAGGGTGTTCTGAACTTGTTTCCGACCACAACGAGCGAGAACCTTCGAGGGTACGGAGAGAACAGGACGCCTGGGTTGGTCTCTGGGAGCTCTGTTGGTCCTAATCCCACGTTGTGCTCAGCTGCAGAACTGGCATTATCCCCTTGTTTGTGCTTCCAGGCTTTGGGGCACCTCGCGCGCAGGGCGTTCGAGGTGGAGGGCAGCGGCTCTCGGGGTTTGTAAACGAAACTAAAGAGGTTCGAGGAGGTGCTGAACAGAGAGTTGTTGTTCCTAGGTCGATGTGCTCAGTCTAGTAAGTGCAGCATTAAATCCTTAAGACAGAAGAGCTCTGTTGGTACTGCCCACATCCACTAGAGGGAGCCCTTCACTGGAGAGGAGCACAAAACCACAAGCAGAGAGACTATTCTGGAAAGTTCAGCGCCGTGACCTCCGGCTTCATCTTGAAGTACTGGTTAAAGCGGAGAACTGCGTATCTATACAAAAGAGAGAGAGAAAAAGAACATTAGTGGAAAATAAAAGTGCATTTCTATCTGACATTTTGGTCAAAACTGAGTTGCTCACATATATATGTGACAACTTATTGACTTTATGTGGGTGGTTTTTTGAGTTGTGTGCATTTCTGGACTCTTTATCTAGAAAACAAAAAGGTTCCATCTCCAAAGTCAAACTCTGACTTAGTTCTATGAGGTTCTAT